CCCCAAAACCCCAAAACCCCATCAAGCTGAATTGAATGATTAAGATTGCATTTAACTTTAAATATTTATAAATAATTTAGTAAAGATGAATAAGAGGAACGACAAAAGAGTCAATAATATGTCGAATTAGCAGGAGAAGGATGAAGAGGATAATCTTGAGGAGAAAAATGCCTATGAGCGCTTTGAATACAGGACTAAATAAATCATCTTCAATGTCCTCTATGTACTTTTGAAGGATGAAGAGGGATCAACATTTGAATTTGTTTGTAATAACTCTTAATCTAGATTAAACTAATCATTTCATAGTGCTTGCTATAATTGGATTTCTTTAAATATGTCAATCCTCGTTCCTTCCAATTGTAAATTTCTTTAACTTAAAAGGTTAATAGACTGATTACCCCTACAATTAACCAGAGTTTACAGAAAAGTTTAATTTTTATTTGGACTTTGTTCAATTGCCAGTTTGGCTAGGTAGACTTGAATTTTCCAGCTATGTCATGGTCAACTATGTGGCAATTTTTATAATCATACTGGTCATTTTGGATATCTTCTATGTATCATTATATTAGCATAAACAACTTCTAAGGTATCCTATAGCTTTAGTAGAAAGAGATTTGCTTATGTTTGGCCAGTGCAGGCTTTGAGATCTAGTGTGGGGCTTTTTGTCACAGTTTTATTCATGCCCTTTCTTGGTAAGATTTAAATTTCTTTAATCCACTTAGATTGCTTTACCACCATGATCTATTGTATTGAATTAGGTAAGAGCTTGATATCAATTTTATTAATTTAGAGGAAAACGGTCCTGGATGGTTTTTAGATGCCTTCCATGATGAAAGATGCTGGGTTGGATCTCATATTATTCATGCAAGCATAAGTAGCGCAGTTTCTCTAGTTTTTATAGCTATTTGTGTCATAGTATCATTGACTTACTATGACAACAACATTACCTCTAATGATTTCAGTGCTAGAGTAGATTAGAGAAGTGAGACATTTAATTTATTCCTCAAAATCACACTTACATACATTTATACTTTTCTAGGATTCAAATAGGTAATCATTTTCAAACTAATACATTTCTTTGATAGTATCATTGGTTACTCATAGTAGTATTACTCATAATATCTTATCTTGATCTAAGAAACTACAGAATTCTAAGACCGTTTTACAATGATAATGCCAATATATTCTATACTTGTTTGTCTGGGTTATTTTTGTGGGGAAATATTGTACTTCTATTTGTAAAGTTAATGGAGCCACTGAATTTTGATGGAGGATATTAAATTTATCTTCTTGGAGTCCCCATTGTCATCTTTATTATCATTTTTGAACCTGACAGAAGAAAAAAACTGCTGATTATGAACATTAACAATATTGAAAAAGGAGAGGAAGCTATGCTCCAAATCAGATACTATATTCGTCTTGTATAATTTATGGAAAAAGATAGAGACAGCAATATTACATTAAAAGGTTATTTATACCATCATGAAGACTCTTGTTCTTATTCGGATTGTCAATTAAAAAAATATAAACAAGAAGTTAAAACTTTAATAGATGGTCTAAAAGGAGATAAGAACTATGATGTAGCTCGCTAATAAAAGCTCATGAAAAAATGTCTGCTTGAACATGCAAAAAGTCTCTATAGAGCAGCGATTGCCAGATTTCCTGATTTTCCTAGTCTTAAGATTTAATATGCTATCTTTTTGAAGGAAATGATGGGTAACACTAAAGATGCATTAATATAGCTAAAGATCGCCTCAAAGCAGTCACTTGCATTTGATGAGTAATTTGTGGTTTTCAGATAAATGAAATTAACTGAGGAATCTAGCTCTCCTAATTCTGAAACAGATAATGGTGATATTGATGTTGTTGGGAAATTAGCTTATGAATCAGCTTAGTAATAACTAAAAGAGAGTATACTTAAGTCTTCAAATCTCCATTTTGAGTTTTGGAATTAATTATTAAATGAGAGGCCAGATATCGACAGACTAAACTTAATCGGTTAAAGAATAAGTAGATCAATAAGATAAATTGATGAGCTGTGGGATACACTGCAAAAGATAAATGCCTATTAGCTTAAAACTTCTCAATTGTATGCCTAGTTCTTAATGAATATACTTAATGACAAAACCAAGGGAGAAGCTCTAATAAAGAGGGCTTAAGAGACAAGAGCATTTAACTTTGGCTCTAACTTAGATGATTTGTTTGACACTGAGACCTTAAATTAAAATGCTACTCCTTATATAATAATTGATGGGGATTAGTAAAATCTAGGTATGATGCTAGACTTCAATAAAAGTTTACTTAAAATGTTTGGCTATACTTCATCAGAACTTCTTCATGTTCATCTAGATAAGTTATTACCTGATATATATACAAAGGATCATAATGCAGTTTTAGAAAAGGCTATTTAAATTTCAGAAAACGAAGAAATCTAATATAAAGATAGATAGGTATTTGGAAAGCATAAATCTGGTTACATATTCCCAATTACTATTTTAATAAAAATGCTAAAAAATGTTAGACAGGAGATAAAATTCATAGCTATATTTAAACAAGAAAAGGTAACAATGCACTAATAGTTTGCGTATATGCTAATTAACAAAGAAAAACAAATTTCGATGATTAGCTCTAATTGCCTTACCTATTTAGATATAGACTAGAATAAAGTGATCAAATTCTAAAACAAGAAAATTGATCTGCCATTTATGTGTCCTGAAATCTTTACATCTTCTTATACAGACACTCAGAAATTAGAATGGAAAATTCCAGATGTAAATCACAAGTTAGCAAAGAGAAAGCAATCATCAGCCAATGTTTAAGGCTTAAAAAGGAAAAAGACTATTCACGCTTTAAGAAGATAGTCAACTAGGATTGATTAGTATCCTACTTTTAATTACGTTCTTGAGACTTATCTTCAAATAATTAAGATGGGATCGTAAGGTGAGATTGGATGGTTTGTCAAAATTAGTGATCACTCATAAGGAGAGTTGAGAATTAGAACTTAAATAAAGAAGGTCATTGCAATTCCACAGTTTTAGTTTCAATTTCATCAAAACAGCGGGCTATTTATCAGAGAGATAATGAATGATGAAAGAGAATAGATATATAGGAAAAACAAAACTACATTTACAAACTTCATGACTGGCTAAAACGACAGTAGCTACAAGGAAGAGATTAAAATTCAAACTCCTAGAGGCAGATATAAAATTGAAGATAAAAGTAACGCCGATGAGTTGAGTGATTTGGAATTAACGAGGGATAATCTTTTGATGAAGGGTAATCAAGAAGAGCAAAAGATAATGAATAGTAGTAGAAGTCAGAAATAGCAGTTAAAATCATAGAGAAACTAAGATGATTAGGAAGAAACTGCCAGTCTGCTAGAAATCAAGCAAAAGTGGGGTAGGGGAATCAAAATCTACAAATTAGTCAATGGAATGTTCTAAACAAAAGACTTCGATGAAGAGGCCAAGCTCCAATAAAAGCTATAAGAGGAAAAGAAGAAGAAAGAAATGGAAGAGTTAAATGAGTTTGGATACAATCAAGAAATGTCCTAAAAGGAACAAATACAGGAATAGAGTGTCAGAAAGGTACTCGAGCATTTACTTCATAGCAAAGAATCACCAAGAGCAATAAATAATCTTCAACTAGTAACAAATCTTGTAATTGCATTCTTTTTGGCACTGGCAATTGCAGAATACATATTTAACAATAGTTAGTTTAGAGATATCAATGAGAACTTCAATTTACTAAGAATGTCCTATGGTAGGCTATCTGAAATCTAAAGAGTAGCTTATAATGTTCGAACTTTGATTAATATCAACGAGAAAAAATAACAGGTTTACAATAATTATACAACAGAACCAGACTTCATAGAATTCATAAAATAAGATATGGAGGATTCAATGAATAATTTATGGTATCTAAATCGAAACATCACATATACTAATCTACCTTTATCATAGAGACAAAAATAATTAGTAAATGAGAAGAGTGTCTATCTATACTTTAGATAAAACAAAGATAAATCCATTAAGACACTAGTATTTAGCATGAAGGAAGCTATGCTCTAGATTATTAGTTCAATCTTCACAGTGCGTCATCTAGACATAAGGGAATTCACAGAGGAAAATGAAGATATGTTCTTTATACTTTATAATTCCTACAATGACTTCTTACTTTGTAAGTATAAAATTTATTTTTTTAATTTGTTTAGCAACCCAAAGAACATCGCTTTTGTATATGGAAGATTTGATTGAGAGATCTGAAAACAAAATGACTCTGATTATCATAGTCTTCATCATCTCAGTTATTGTAGTATGCTTTGCAAGCTTCATGGTTTTGCCAATGATTGTTAGAGTCAACAAGGTTAGAATTAAGGTCCTGCTTCTATTTCTGGATATACCTTCAAATAATGTTTCCTAATTAGCAGATAAGTGCACAGACTTTATATTCAAGTTAGAAGATGATCTATTGAATGAAGTATTAACTGATTAATAAAAATCAGAAGATGATGATAATCTTGAACAAAAAATCAAAGATAAAGTTATTCAGAATTTTTTCTCTAAAAAATCATCATAAAAAATACCAAGAAACGCAGTTAAATCATATGCAAGGTTGTATATTAAGCTGCTTTTGATTATTGCTGTAATACTGGGCTACTTCTCAGCAATGTTTGTCATTTCATTAAATTACATTCATGCGATTGATATTGAAGCAACACAACTCAATGTACTTTCATAGGCTGAATATGAATATGCATTTGCCTAGAATGTTTAAAGAGAAATGATCTACAGTCCAGAAATGCCTATTTTTAATAAAACTAGCTTCAAAGTTGCTAAAGATTCAATAATAACTATTCAAAAACTGTAATAAAGTATTAGAAACGAGATGCAGAGATCAGATGACGGGGAGTATAAATCGGAATTCATCAACATATTTAAGTCAAACTTGTGCGAAAACCCACTTATAAATATTACCTTAATTCCTGAAGATTGCTCAACAATGCTGAACCATGCTGCTTTCAATGTAAAACCAATTTTTCACATAACATATTATTAGGGCTACCAAACCATATTGATTAAGTACTTCGGATTATTGCAAGAGAATATTAAACAGTATATAATTGAGATGGATTCAACAACTAACACCACAAAATCATAATAATTACTATTTGACTCAAGGAGATTTTATGATTTATACGTCATTCAATACAGATTTATCAAAGATATAAATAGATATCTAATCAAAATACTTTAAGAATAAGAAACTTAAGACTACTAATCTAAGACCAGCATGAGGCTTGCATTATTTATCTGCTTTTTAATTGGATTAGCTATTTTCTATTTGCTTTTGTGGATTCCTTTTGTTAGGAATCTCCATAATTAGATATTGCGTACAAAGGGCATGCTGAATATCATCCCGATGGATGTTATTATTAGAATGCCGAGAATGAGAGAATTCCTCAAATCTCAAGATTTTATTTCAGGCAAAATTTGACTGCTATTTACGAAAATAAAATCCTTTGCTTTTGAATTTAAATATTAAACTTTGAAATTCACTCAGATCTTATATAAAGGGGTTTTGGGGTTTTGGGGTTTTGGGG